TTTGGTATGATTCTGAATATTTACTATACAAGAGTGGTGTGGAAAATTTTTCCATGTGAAAGTGGGTGAGAACACAAAAAATGCTGGGAGCCCCTGATCTAAATGAATCACCTCACTATGTTTCAAATTATCATTGTCAGTATTTTCCAAACATTAACTTTGTTACAAGGAATTTTTATAATAACTTTTATGTGATTCATAGTTAAGATTTATTAAATAAAAAAAACTTTCATTCATTGAAACATCTGTTTATGTTGCACTTTTATAAGTCTACCATTCATCCTTTCATCAAATATTGCTGCCACTTCTTGTCTGGTCCTTCTGTTTTATATCTAGAGATTCTTGATAAAATCCAAAGAAGAATCTGCAATGTTATCAGTTCTGACTTTGGCATCTTGGCTTCAGTTATTTTCCCTGCACCATAACATAGCTTCCCTTTACCTCTTCTATAAATGATGTTGAGCTTTCCTTGGCTCCACAAATTCAAGTGCAGTACTAGATTGGCAGTAAGGTCTCATAATTTTACTGTTGAAATTGTTAGTAGTAAGCGTAAGTTCTATGCTAACAATTTCTTCTCCTACACTTCTTGCTTATGGAAGTATCTTTTGGCTTTCAGCTTTCCTGTCAATAATGATCTTCAAAAATATAAATGCAATGTCAATCATCATGCTCTCTCAGTTTCTTTTATTTTCTGTAACCCCATTTGCATCCTAGTAGCTTTTATTGCCTTGCTTGGGATGAAATGATTTTATATATATATATATATATATATGTGTGTGTGTGTGTGTGTGTGTGTGTGTGAAAAAGCTCCACAGGCCTGAGTAGGAGGTATAGACATTTTGGGCTACCTATACATCAAGATCCTCCTCCTGGCATTGTTGGTGGAGTCCAAAAGTAAACATTTTCATATTGGCATAACATAATAACTTTCAATATATATATAATGATAGTTACATTTTAACATTGGTCACATTTGAACTAAGTATATATTGGCAATTTTTGGACCTTTTTATCCTGACTACTGGCTGACATTATGACTATTTCTTCAACTTAAGTTTTAGCAATTTCCTGCACAAATAAGCAAAGTATTTCTGGACAGCAGGGGCATTTGATGAGGTACTGGATTCTACAATTTATTAAAATTATTAAATTATTTTTCAGGAAGAAAAAGAATTGTCAATAGTCAAGAACTACTGTAAATATTACATAAATAAAATTGGGCTGTTATATGTATAATTGCTTATAGACAGGTTCACCTATAGCCTGGTTCACACTCTTTCCTTGTTTTTTGAACAGGAGTAGAGGCTTATCCTTTGTTTCCTATTTAGGATTGGGTTGCTGATCCCTTCTCCTAAAATCTTCTCATTTTCTTTCGTCCCCAGTAACACTTTGGTTCTTAGTGTCATTGTTGTAAGACAAAGAATTCATTTTCAAACATGTCATTTTTGCAAAGATTCACCCAAGGGCTGACTGAAGGATCCCTCCACCTTCCAGTGATATGTAAACTTAGAGTGAAACTATGGAAATTGAAGCGGGCCAAGGCAAAGAAAACTAGACAAAAAAAAAATGGAATTGTTTACAGATTAAATTCTTGACATGATAAAAAGGAGACAACAAACAATGCCAAGGTATAGGACATTGCAAAAAGAAATTTGGAACAAATACAGGCAGACAAAAGAGGAATGGCTCAATGAAAAGTGCATAGAAATAGAAAGAATGAGTATTACAGATAAAACAGATATGCATAAAGAAATAAGAGAACAAACAGGACAAAAGACATGCTCATCAACAGGATAGATAAAATCCAAGGACAGCACTGGTATTAGAGAAAGAAAATATACTTTAGTGATAGAATGAATACATTGGAGAACTCTACTACAATGAAAGAGGACATCTGGCAATACACAGAAATATAAAAGGACCAGAAATTGAAACAGGAACAAAGCAATAGAACCAGATGGAATTGTAATAGAGATGCTGACAGCCTTAGATGATTTTAGCATTGAAAAGATCATAAATGTAATAAATGAACAATAAATATATAACAGTGGTGATCCTGTCTAAGAAACTAGGTGCAAATGAATGTAACCTCCATCGGACAATTGGCCTAATGAGCCATATAACAAAACTTAACTGAATTCAGATGAATAAATTGCACAGCAGGATTAGACCAGAAATATGAAGGTGGGCTGAAAAGTACATAGGCTGACTATGAAGGAGTGATGCTAGAGTTGTGAAATCTTGCAACTTAATTTCAACTCTTCTTATTAATAAATGCATTGTTTATTTCCAGGTAAACTGACACCTGACTGTTCAAATAAAATTTCAGAAGTAACTAGTAACAACTTCTCTTGAAAATAGACAAATTCAGGACTTATTCACAAATGAATGACATTATTTTTGAAATTTTTTTTATTAGAAAATCTTGGTAAAAATATTTTTTGATGTTACTTAATTTTATGAAAACTTGAGAAATTCAACATAATAATTTTTAGTGATTATATCAATTAAAAGCAGAATTCTTTGAAGAATTTAAATCACTAATTTTTTTTTACAAAATCGAACCCTGTCTTACTGGAAATCTGTTCTGAATCAAAAATTAAAAAGTGCAATAAAACTAAGACATTATTTAATTAGAAATGCTTTTAGTTGCTTTTATGAATAATATATATTAAAGACAATATTGCCTGAAGAAAAGAAAATTTTTTGAAGAAAAATGAATTTGTACAAGATTTGATTTCATTTTTTACATTTTTAAATTGAATAATTTATAAAGTTTTTAAAGCTTTTAAAATTCAGTTTCAATTTAGGAAATGTTGTTATTAAGTAAAACTATATTTACTAATTATATATTGTAAAGCTTAACTTATCTGACAATATTTTTAAAAGAATTTCAATTTGTTTTTGTATGTGTATATATGTGCAGAATTTCTAAGTATGGATGTTCAAACCTATATTATCATTAAAAGGTCACGTATTTTAAGAGCTGTCCTCCACTTATGGGAATCCCCACCTCATATAAAGTTTATTGTCTGCTCTACTATACTTAAGTATGAACATGTTCAGCAGTCATGCGGCTGTCAATAAGTCGATTAACATGTCAGAAAAACAAGACCCTGTGTTTAAGAAATGCTTGTATACAACAGTTTATGCTATAAGTAATATTTGTTTCAAATCAGATTAATTTAACTTTAAGTTTGCTAATTTTCCTCAAATAACGTTTCAGAAATATATATTTTATTTTTGCAAGATTTTTAAAATCGAGAATTAACTTTTGTTTACAAATCTGTCAAAATGGCCGTTTTTATCTTTTTTTTTATTTTTTTAATGAAAAAAAATATCGATTCCGATCAATATAATTTCTGTTTGAAATACACCACAGAGTATTTTACTCACTGGAAATAGTAAATTTCCTTTAGCTTTTAATTAAAGCTAAAATGAAAGCCTTTTTTTTTCGTTTTTAAAAATTCATTTTTACTTTAACTTTACGTACTGCGGTACTGAATTAGTACCTAATTAACATCAGAAAGTGGCAGTTGAAATTTCTAGGACAAATAATGAGGAAAGAGATCTTAGAAAATTTGACACTCACAGTACATATTGAAAGCAAGAGAGACAAAAATTTTACTATGAGCTACAAAGGAAAGCAAGTTTTGGAGAATCATGATCGCCTATGATCCTGAGGAGGTACAACACAGAAGAATTTATGCAAATGAGTTTTTTAAACAAACTTCATTAAACTGGAAAGCAACAGAATTTTAAGTAGGGCCAAAATAAAATAAAATTAAAAATGATTTCATGTAGTACTGTGTAAACTAAACATTTTTTTACCTATTTTTAGGAGTGATCCATGGTAAGTAATTTGCTGAAGAAAAGTGTAACTAACCAAAGTTAAAGTAGAAAACTTCCTTAATAAACAATCACGTTAAACAGAATTACAAACCACGTTTAAAATTAAAATTATTGATTTACTTTAACTTTAGCATCGTTTGTTTTAGTTTCAAATCCTTTTTACGTCAGTTGATTAATTAATGAATGAATGATATCGAAAATTCATTTATTATTAATAGAAAGTTTGATTTTGTTATTATTGCATGCTTGTGAATTCGCCTTTATTTTTAATTTTCTCTTTAAAATTTTAAAAATTATACTGCAATTTAATTCTTATTTCAATTTTACTTTACAACTAAGGTGAAGAAATAATTACTATTAATTAAAATGTAAAAAAAGTAAAGTGTAATTAATTCTTCACCTTTTTGCTTTTCATCACAACGTTGTGATGATGAAAAATAATGAAGACATCTCTAGTAATGAAAATGTACTTAATTTCAGAATTCCAAACGGAATTATTCATTATTCCCTGTGCAGGATAAGCTGTAACACTAAATCTAAATAAATAATAAATTGCTAGATTTTTAATGAGGTGAGTCACTTAGGAAACTACCTGAAACTTCAGTGAAGTTGTTAAGTTGACATAAATCTTGCCTACCGAGTGATGACACGATCGAACTGAATTAAAATCAGTTTTAATTTGTTTTTATTTTAACATTCTCAAGAATTTGAAATGACTTTTAGGGGCGTTACATTTTTAGGATGTACTTCTGACGATGACGAAAATATTCGTCGAATTTTTTATCTTTAAAAAGCTCAATGGAAATTTTTTTAGTAATTGAAGAAAATTTTAACGAAAAGAAATCAGAATATTTTTTTAACTACATTCGACAAACGCTAAAAAAATATGTTAAAAAAATCACAGAAATTAACTCAAAATTACGTTTTCTAAACAAAAATAAAAGCTTTTTTTACCCCCTTTTTTGCGCAAAGAATGCAGCAATAATGATGTGTTAGAGATTTTCTCAGCAATATCAAAAAATGTACAAATAAATTATTTTAATTTTAAAATAAAACTATTTTGTTTTTTTTTACTTCTTAGTAAAAAAAAAAATAAAATAAAATAAAAAGTCACGAAGTAAAAACTAATTTTAAATTTATTTACTTACAAGACTCGTCTGATTCCAGAGAGGGATAAACTCCAGAACATGGGGTTCTAACATTTACCCTCAGGATTTGAAGGGCAGTGTTGAAGTAATAATACCGATTGTAAAGATCGTGTTGGTGTCTTTCAGTTTCCCAACTTCCATCAGTGTCGCTCGAAACAGGAAAAGTTCGGTGCCACCATCGTCTAAAAGCTGCATGCAAAATGTCACAAGATTCACCAACAATCAGAAAATTAAATTTTGTAGGTAGCAACTGCAGCGTATTAGACGATGATGTTATGTTTTGCGGTAAGGGCCACAGGTTAATTTGGGATGCACATTGATAGGGTCCCAATACGAATACAATAGTCATTAAATAAATGCATGGTAGGTTTAAAGTTCGGCTTCCAAAATTCATTGTTAAAAAAAAAAAGAAAGGAAAGGATTTTAACTAGCAAGCGACAAAAGACCACGAGCTCATTAAAAAGAGTAACTAACTGCAGTGGTTGTCAGTTAGGTCTTTGACTGAGTGAATCTGTTGTAAAACTAATTCAACATAAACAAGACTGCTGTTTTTAAATACAACTCAGTAACGTGAGTATAAGCGCAGATAATGGCGGGCAGAGTACAATCAGCACTGGCTACATAACTGAACACGTACTTTATTGGGGAGTGGGTGTTGGTATAAGAGAGGCTTTCTTTCAAATTGCATTGGTGATAGTGAGATAGTTGCGTCGCCTGCTAGTGTTTGCCGTATATAGTGGGTGCTTAGTGGCGTGGGTCTTAGGAGTTAAAATTAACAGTTGATTTACTCACGCCAAGAAGATTAATGAAAGATGATAATGAGAAGGAAACACACTGGTAATTTTAACAAAATAATAAGGAATTTATTCACGAATTTACACGCTTGAAGTAAGTGTCAGTAGCTCGTTTCAGGAAAATAAATCAGAATTCTTAAAATCCGTAGTTGTAATTGTCAAGAAGAGGAAATGTTCATACAACAGATTAAATGATCTAACACAAAATATTAAAAAAATGTTTAAAACAAAGATAAGATAGTTCATTGTTCACCGAAGGGATATGGTTTTTGCACACGTTCAACCAAATGCAGACGAAGAGAGATAGTTTGAAATAGCATTCTTGGATGGCTGAGAGAAAATTCTTTGAAATGCTGCATGCTTGGTTAGAAGCCGATAATATAAATGGCGAATGATTTTACGATGACCAGAAACGAAACATTTCACATGACTTCAACCACTCTTTTCGAAATTTGCCAGACCTCCCCACGAAGCAGGATGTGGCACAAGGCCAGTATTTACGTGGGGCATTTTCAAGCCCGTAGGCGTAGCCTCGTCTGGGCTCCTCTCTGCCCAGAGGTATAAAGGTGAACAAGCTCTCCTCATTTTACATAAAAAAGAATTTCGCATAGGCTCGTTATTTTCTTTTTTTTATACTCTTGACTAATCGGCTAATTTCTGTGAAGGCAACGTTTTCATTGGTCCAAAGAAATTTTCACATATGCTCGTGAATTCCTTCTCTTCTTTTTCTTCAGTCCACCGAATACGAAGGGAGTGGGTGAAGGGTATTATTATTATTCGCACTCACTATAGCCGTTAAAACACAAGAAAAAATAACTGGCTTTTGAACATTAATTTTCAAGGTAGGCTAGTATAAGAATTTTTGTACACGGGAGAAGAGAAGGCATCAATTCTCTTATTCCGATTATTCTTAACGCGCAGAAGCAACAAACAAAACTCGAAATTCCGTAATGCAACTTGAGCGAAATTTACATTTATTCACAATACATTAGCAAACAGAATACAAAATATACAAATAACGTTGTGCAAAATATTCCTTTTGTGCGCCTTATCATTATTAAGGCAAAGTAATCAGTTTGAAAATTAAACTGTTAGGCTCATAGAAGCTTATATAATTTTTTTCAACAAATCTTTCTTTTATTCACATACTTTCAACAGACGAAAAATCTATTGAAAAGATACAACAATACAATTCCTTTAAAAAAAAAGGTTAAAACGAGATATATTCTTTCAAAAAAGGTTAATTTATTTATTTACTAAGAAGGTTGGCAGATTCGCCAGAGTAGCTGGGACTTTAAGAAATTTGTTCTCAAAAGGAATCACAATGATATCGAGATAAATCTCGTTGTATTCTTTTTTAAATAATATTGTTCAATAATTAATTTCAGGAATTTTTCACTTCTCTTAAAAACAAGTGTAATAAACAAACCTAACCTATTATAATATTTTTTTTTTTTTATCTGTTCACATTCAAATTCAAAAAGTCTTTTTATTACATTATTTACATTATTCGGACTATTGTCCTCATCTTTGTCGCCACATTTATCACAACGTTTCGGCCGTTGTACGCTCCGGCCTTTTCAGGTGGTTGGAATTTCGAACTGAACCCTTTATTTCGCTCACTGGGGTAGACTGTTCTAGTTCCACATGCCATGTTTGATGGATATCAGTTATCATTCATCTCCTGCTAATTTCCCTCTGAAAGTTCCACAGTGGATAAAGGCGTTGGTTAGATCCAGTGACAGGACCCAAAGAGTGTGAGTTCAATACCCGGTTAAGGCAGTGGAGAACTTTCAGAGGGAAATTAGTAGGAGATGACTGATAACTGACATCCATCAAACATGGCACGCTCTCCCTACACTATAAATACTGGGCGATTTCTTGCTTCACCCTCTTTTTCATTTATTCATTTTCATCGAATACATCTACAGTGTAAACTCTCGTAGAAGATTGCGTCTTCCCATTTGTGGGAGACGCCATGAACATTATACACACATACACGTAGGTACGAACATTCACCAAAATACAAACTCTTTACGTTCACACATGAACAAAAATGTTAATGTCTATGTTCATTGTAAATTTTGTTGTTTAATACATATACTTGTGGTATATACATATCGGTCTTGTTGGTTTTCTTTACACTTCTTTATGGTGGATTCAATCTCTGAGTCCGCCATATTCTGTTAGTCGACCTTTTAATATTCTATCAGGAGTTACACACGTATTCCTAATTTAAGAACACGTCCGCTACACTTTAATCTACGTGAGTAGACTCTAGTTGTTATTTTTAGTGATGCTCCAGTTATTGCCCGCACTGTTTCCACCGAGTTCAAGTACATATTGCCCGACCCAGGGGTTGAACTAAAAATGACTAAGTCAGCAAATTCATGACACAACGCTTTAATATGCTAAGCCATTCATAATACTTGGGATAAGAGATTTGACGTTCACTCTCTTCTTCCGCCATCATAAACATCCATTTATTATTGAATAACTTATTGAAATTATTACGAGTCTTTCAGTGTTTATTAGTGTTTGATATACATGCATGAATACTGAGTGAAAAGGTTAGACAGAGTTGTGTCTCTTAGATTAGGTAATATTTGTACCTAAGTTCATAAAGTGAAAGTAATTATTAAACTGTAGTTTAGAAGAATAAAGTTCCTTTAGCATGTTTTGAATTGTGAGTTGTAAAGTTGGTAAAAGTTCAGAAGCGATTTCAGAGTTCGTACTTGCGTGAATGTTGATAATGGTCTTTAACGTCTGACTGCATTAGTTAAGACGGGAGTTCTTGCAGATTACATCTTGACAAATGAGACGCTAGAGAGATGAAAAGAAACACGAGGGAGTTTACACGTGTTCTGTTTATATATCATCGTGAATCACGTGACTGGCTCAAATGGAGAACGCGGGAAAACAGATTTGTTGCGTGAAGGCGGTTTGATTGGTCGGAACTGACCAATCAGCAAGCTAGATTGAATGAGATTAACCAATGAATGCTTGTTATATATTTGTAAGATGGTGATGGTGAAAATTACAACAGGAATAGTGCATTTCCTAGCAGGGGTTAACTGGCTTGTTGTGGAAGATTCCACACTGCTATTATTTAGATCAAATAAATGACATGCTAGCAGACATACATAAGTCCTTTCTCATGATAAAGATTAGATTATTTGAAGGCCGTAACAGGTTTTGTTTCTTCATGAAAGGAGATAAGCGTGTTTGCTTTAGATATACAACCATTATTTTTGGTTTTAATGTTAGTTCATTCATCTTAAATTTTGTAATGAAACACTACGCAAACAAGTTTCCCAATGATAGTTCTACTGTCACGTTAAAGAAAAAAATATGTAGACAATTTGATTAAAACGGTTCTGTTGATAAGTTATCAAAACTATATACAGTAGCTAATGAACGTATGCAAAAGTGTAATTTTAGATCGTGGAATAAAAAATGTGAAAGACTTAAATCCTAAATGATTAAAATTTTGTAGAACATGGTTGTGAGCTCGAAAAAGTTTTAGGAAACAAGTATTCTACTCTAGAAGACACACTTCAGATTTTTGGGTCTTCTATTGACCCTGCTATTAACACCAAAAGGGGAATATTATCACAGACTGCTTAAGGTTTCAACCCCCTGTCTTTGTGCTTACCTTACGTCCACACACACATACATATATACACACATCCTCACATATGCTCACATACGTTAAATCAAATGTATACTGAATAAACGAATGTGATATGTTAAATGTCCGCTGATTAGATTGATTCGGCCAATCAGGGCAGGGGTGAGTGTAATCTTTTTTGCCGCCAAATCGTGGGTTTGTTCGAGGTCCTATATAAACATTTTCCCGTGAGAGGTCAGTTAGTTGCGGCCTCACACATCAAGAGACAGAACATGAATCTTCATAAGACAAACCTTCGCCCAACTCACACATTCTTACAAACCTAAATGTAAATATTTGCGAATATAATTTACTTTGATTTACAATTGAATATGTGTTCATCTTATTTCTTCTCCTTCTCTTGTCTGACGTCAGGATTTTTTAATCTTCACAAAATAAATAATAGGGGTTTAGACCCCCGCCCCCTACAACCTGTTACAATCAGAGGTAAAATGCTTTTGAGAGATTTGTGGTCTTAAAGGTTGGACTAAGATGATGTTGTGTCAGGTGAATCTCAGGCCGTGTGGCCTGCTTTATTAAGCGACCTAGCCAAGCTTGATTACTTAGCGTTCCTTAGATATGTAATCGATGAGGACATAGACATAGTTTGCGATGATTCTAAGGAGGTTTACGGGTTTGCAGATTATAATGTGCAAAACAGTGTGCTGTTTCTTATTTTATTTTCCACACACACATACACACAATAAAAATTAATTCACACCACG